TTGGCCTCATGCTCATAACATTGGGTCGTTTGAGTGCCTAACCTAATCTTCTTCACCTACCAAAAATATAAAAAAAAAATTATAAGTCGACTGTATAATACTCGCTCAATGGCCAAGATCTAATTAATTTATTCAAATATCGATTCGCATTGCCATACAATAGTCGGACTATTATATTATACTATTATATTATTATATTATATATTATATTATCTATTAGTCCCTCTGTGATTAACAGGGAATACGCAGGGCGTCTGGCTCTGAGAGTTAGAGAGATTTGTATTTCTTTTTCGACTATACCAATATACTCGGATCACAAAGAAATCGTATACAAATCAAAAGCGAATCCCACATTGTCTTCTTTTATTTCTTTGCCTTAAAAGAAACTAGACCAGACTCTTTGCCATTTTTGGGCCGTGCTTAGAAAACTATTGAGCGCGGGGGTCACGGGCTGCTCTGATCGTGAAAACAGTTTAAAGGCTGGCATGTTATGGCCATGTTGGCTGCCACAAGCACCGAGCCATGAATTGACAATCCAATGCGGCACGAGTCGGAAGTATGTAACGACGATAACGAGATACTTTTTTACAGTAACAGTTGCAGTTACAGTTACAGTTCAATTTACATGGCCATCAATCATCGTCAAAGCCGCTCGGGCTCAACGGCTCAAAAACTGAAGAAAAAATCCAAATTGATTACGCTGTGCGTTTTGTGTAGTCTAAAAACTAATCCGTTAAGACTGAAGACTTAAGCTGGCGGTTGCCAAAGCGCTTCTTGCCATGTGAAATTCGCATATGAACAACAACAGCAACAGCAACAGCAACTACAAAAGTTTTAACAACCCCAGACGCCAATGGCATTGTTTATTAAACATTTCAAAAATGATATAGCCAAGTGATTTTAATTATTATTCTTTGCTGCTTTGCTGCTTTGCTGCCGCTCGATGGATGATCTCATTTTTCAATTGAAAACTTTGGGCGGCTCATGTGAAAAGTTTTTGTTTATCGCATGCGTAATAAATACATATGTATGTGTTTTATAATCTAGTCCAAAAGGCTGAAGGGGTCTGTCTGTTTCGAACCAGGGCTCCCACAGACTCCCCATGTGCTGCACGCTTAGCGCGGCGCCCGCCTCTGCCTCCTCCTCCGCCCCCACATGGCAGCCACGCACTGCATGTCCATTTAGCATAACTTCTAATTAAAAACAAAAAGCATTTGCAGCACGCATGTCTCGAAATTAGGAGGCTCTGACCAGCTCCCAGCAACTACGAAGACAGCAAATGTTGCATGCAAATGAACAGAATAATAACCAAGAGATCTAGATATGGCCTACTAATACCTAATACACTTATATTTTACTTTAAAAAGCAGAAAGGTTTCAAATGATAATTAAAACAAGACATTTTACTTCCCTATCAAACGTAGACTTTAACTAATTTAATACGAAAGAAATATGCATTAACTAACTAAATTTATATAAACAGTAAGACTTGACCGTGCAACGACGGGTATTCCATATTAAAAACCATTTAATTAATATCAGTTCTCATAGGTATGCAAAAGCATTCAGTTACGTAAGTATATTGTCTATAGCACACGGTAAGAATATAAATGAAGGCGCTTATAGATAAGTATAGATGTGCTTCGTTCCCTATAAGTGAATACCCGATGTTATATATCATATAACATATATATATATATCATATATATACTCATAGATAGAAATCTGATTGTATTTGCAGTGTAAAATAGCGATATACGTCTTTAGTTAACAGTTCATTTTTCTGCAAACTCCCGTTATTTGACATAGTTGTTGAACCTTGCGCTAAGCGCTGGCTACTTAGCAGCAGGTCGCAGAGCAAACACCCATTAAAGAAACAAAAACCCGTTGCTTATCCCTTTATTCCGCCAACTATCGCTCATTCTCAATCTCTCCCACTATTTCGCCCCTGTGTCGCTGCCTCTGGCCGGTCTAAAAGGGGCGTATGAAATTAATAGACTCTCCAACTCGCTTAATTATCACACTCAGCAGACATTTTAAAATGGGCAAATGTTTTTTTTTTCTGTTTCTGTCTCCAATAGGTTGTTGTTGTTGCTTTATGCAGCCATTTGCCTAGCAGACATAGCTGTGTTCCGAGTAGTAGTTGTAATTGTAATTGTGTGCGTGTGTCTCTGTTGCTGTTTGCTTTATTAGATGATGATAACTTGGCTAATGAGTTGCTGGACTGACAGCGGGACTGAGCGAAAAGCCAACGACATTGTGTTTCGTGTTGGCTGACCAAAAAGACCAACAAGCAAATACAGTCACAACAACAACAATTTCATTTGAGCTGCCCGCGCATTTTCAACGTTTTCATCTTGAGAATTTTTTGTGTTTTGTTTGTTTTTTTTTTGTGCTTTTTGTTTTGTTTAACGCGTTTGTGAAGGTGAACAACGCAAAAATTTCAAAAAGAGCCACAAAAGAACCTTTCGTGAAGATCTGCTTAAGGTTAAGCGGCAGCTAGAAAAACAACAGTTAGAGAGCAGAGCCAGAGATAAGTGAACTGTGCTGAACCGAGAGCAGCAACTGAAACACTTGCGCTTATTTGAATAGCCATAAACGAGTTCACAACGAACCATTAACCTAAGCTATGGTAGTTGCCGATTATATATCTGTATCTATATCTGTAGCTGTATCTATATCTGTAGCTGTATCTATATCTGTAGCTGTATCTGCATCTGTATGTGTGACTCAATGCCAATATGTGTCGCTTTATCGTTCGAGTATTTTGCGTGTTTGCCATTACATTAAATGCGGGCAGTTTTTGATTTAATTTTGTTGTCTTCACCTGCTGATAGGCAATTATGGACGTGCACGTTTAACCGTTTAATTTAAGCCTATATTTGAAAATCAATTAGAACTTGCTTATGCCTAAACTGTACACAGTCTTATCAGCATTGACTTCGACTCAGATAATCTTTCTTTTAGTTGAAAAACTAATAAAGAAAACAATTAATGTATTGGCTACAGCTCCACAGTATTTCTATGTAAACTTATATTATTCATACTCAATTTTCCACATGTCAACTAGTTATTTGAAAAATGCTTTGCTGGCGGCATTCAACAGCCATTCAAGTAAGTTAATGCATTATTTCTACAACCTGAAAATCAAATTTATACCCCGAACTTTTTTAGGATCTTGTCGTAATTTTTAGGTCAAGGCACGTTAAGGCCATATTGGCCTGGCCTCTGTTCTTTTCTTGGCAATGGCGTCTAACCCAAACATATTTGATATTGAATTTCCGTAGTCGAATTCCAAGTTAGAATTTATTTTCGACCACTTATCGGCTATCGTGGGTTTGTCTATAGAGAGGCGATACGCTTATCAGCAAGGCGAGTGCGGTAGATAAGGTGGGAATTACGCACACAAACACAAGTACACACAGAAAGAGCAAAGCAAACAAATGGCACAGCGAATCGATAAGCCGAAAAGGTGAGCTAAAAACATAACGAATACAACAACTACTCAACTGCGGTTGACTCACAGTTGCAAAAAATTTAATAAAATATGATCGGTGGTCCGATTGGTGTAATATTTTGGCCGTGACTGTGAAACGCACACAGGTAGCAAGAAAGAAAGAGAATTGCACATGAAATGGGGTTGCAAAAACCATAAAGAAGCAGAGCAGTTTTAGCCCTGCAGCCTATTTGTGCAGCTGGGCAGGACATGACACAGCGCTGACTCAGCGTCTCAGGCCCTGCCCCCACTGCAGGCTCTTAAAGGAAACAAGGTAAGTTGCTAAGGGCAGTACTCACCCTTCGTCCAGTTCGAGTGGCAAGCGCTTTAGCTCAGCCATATCTAGCTCAAGGCGCAGATTGGCGACTACGCAGAGCAGTCGATCACGCTCGATGCTTAGCTCCTTGAGTTTCGATTGCAGCACATTGTTCTCGTGTAGTAAGTCCTCGACATTGAACTTGATTTGTGTGGGCGGATGCACAGGACCGGGACAGAGCATGGTGCTAGCCATGAGCAGCGACTGAGTTGTCTGATGCAGCAGCAGTTGCTGCTGTTGATGATCCTCTAAAGCGTCAGGCTCGCTGCGCTTTGGGGACAAGGTTTTGTGCTCGGCCTCCGACATTGTTTTAGTTATATGGATAAAAACAAACACGACTGCACTTCATGGACTGAAACAGAACATCGCGCCACGCAAACGCACTCGCGGCCAAGAGAGAGAAAGAGATAGAGAGAGAAAAAGATAGGAACAAGTAAAAAAAAAAAAAAAAAGAAAAAAGAAAAACAAAAACGACTTTGAATATTAAAAGGCGAACGAAGGAATAACACGACGCAAAGCGACGCCGCCGCAGTGTGCTTTGATTTGAATTTCACTTAGTTTGACTTCGCGCTCTCCACTTGGCGCACACTCACAAAACGTATGCTTTTTAATTTATATTTCAATTATATATTCTTGCACTTGTGATGTTGTGTGCTGTTACAACTCTTTAAACTTTTGATTTTCATAACATGCGCGAGCGACGTGCTACTTGTTCTTCGGACATCAAAACGAGTACACGAATACGGCAAGCAGCGTGACCAAACCCACATTTTTCAAATATACATTTTCTTATACGAAATATACCAACTATAATACTGCCTTTTCTTATTCTTACTCACCAACTATCGTAAAGTTGTCATCTCTAATTTATTCAAATGGCGCCTGATTTGTCTGTCAAATTTTAACATCTTTTCCTCTGTGATATAGAAAACTACACAACAATAATGGAAAATATAAAGACATGTAAAACTTTATTTAAACTGCAATTAACACAATTTCTAAATAAAATACTTTTTTAAACTGTAAAGAACATGTTCAAAGCCAAACACCTATTATACTCAAAATGGCACTGTTAAATGCCTACCGTAAGCTAGTTCCAATTCAGCCACAGACAATGCACTATGTGGGGAATAATTGTCAAAGTGGATTAATTCATTTTAACATCACTAAAAAAAAGTATTTTTTATCAATAACTTCTTGGTTTTCTTTAATTTTATTCGGAACTGTTAGGTGCTGCTACGCTTCTGTGGAAAGGTGTACTGCAGGAGGCGGCATTGTCATAGTGGTTTGCTGCTGGGATTCGCTTTTGCGCGTGGAGCGCTTGCGCACGCGCTTAGTCTCCTTTGCCCAATCCATTTCATTGTACGACTGCTCCGTGGCGCGCCAGTGCAGTTCTTGTCGCTGAACTAGTTCCACATTCTTTTGCTCGAACTCCTTGTCCGGCGGAAGAAGAAGTTCCCAGCGTTTCGTGGAATTTACGCGTGCCACAGTGCGTAGCACATCCAATGTCTCGGCGGGGGGCAACTGGGTGGCGGTCATCACTTGTTTTCGGTACAGGCACTGAGTGCGTGAGAATTTGTAGAGCTGTCCAGAGAAAAGAAACATTATTAATATAACATTTGGACACATAGTGTCTTGTGTAACATACTACGTAATCCCGCGCACGTATCATTTGCTCCGCAGAGACGCCATTGGCATGTGATAGCATCTTTTCGGGATAGACCACCTCGGACTTGGGTACCCAGTTGCCATGCAACAGTATTCCCACCTGAGGTAGCAACGCCAACACTTTCTCAGCGCTGACATGGGGATCAATGTGCTCCGTGAGGATGTGCAGTACGTCAGGAAATGAGAGCATTTTGGCATCCTTGAGCAGCACGCGTAGCTGATCCAGCAGCGGGAGAGTCTTAAGCATCGCCTTGTTGTAAACGGGCAGCACATTGGCCGCATCCACCTGTTGGACATGCTCGTCATGCGGCAACAGCTTGCAAAGATACTCGCTGGGCGGCAAGGACAGCGACTGATTGGACTGATGGTTGGCACTATAGAGCTTCTGCCTCTCTAGTTCGGCCGTTGGCGTGTTGCGCGCATGCCAATAGCTCTCACACCAGGGCTCATCCACGATGCGCTGAACGAATTTGTCATAGCTACCGCGCTGTTCCTTGGTCTTCTTTGCCGCGGCGCCAGCGCTAGTTCCACGTGCAAACTTCACCGTCACCTGCTGCGCCACCTCATCGTCATCGATATCTTCCGATTGCGCCTTTTGCTCCGCCTTGCGACGCTTGTCCTCCTTGTCGAAGTAGGTAAGCGAGGGTCTCAACTGCACAATACTAGCCAACGGCGACAAATGCACCTCTTTATCTGTGTAAATTCCCACTACATACTTTGAGATATCTGTTAAGGAGCGCGTGCTGGTAAACGCCTGCTTGTCCATGATGCCACGCTTGTAGGTGGGTCTTTCGGCGCCCTTAGGTAGGGCGGCGCCGTATGTGTTCTTGCCATCGGCGGCTACTGCAAATTGCTCGCCCTTGAAGCGATCGAAATGCTTGGACTCAATGTTTAGTCCGAAATCCACTTTCACTTCCTGTGTAAACGGTTTCACACAGCAGTTGACAACGACGGCATCATCGTGATTTGGCAGTTCGGTCTTTGTGGGGTATTGAAACAGGTATAGGTTGTCTTGCAAGTTCTTTGATAGAAAGACGGGTATCTCCTCCACAATGGGATCCTCCTCATCCTCCATTCCAGTTAGGATTTAATACTTCAAATTGTTTTGTACTGCCTGCAGAACAGGAATCATGCGGCGTTGTTGGCAGAATGACCAAGTATCGAAACAACGAAAATACTAATTTCGATTAAATATATGCGTTCAAAAATCTAAAAATGTACCGCACCCACTTACGATAGCTTATCGATAGGTGAGTCAATAAACACAGTTCGATTTTTCGATTAACCAATGACTCCGTTGCCCGCGCAACCGCAATACTTTAAACAGGTCCAATCAAGGTGCTGCTCTCCTTAAGGCATTAAAAACCAGAAGAAGTCACACTTCGCATTTAATTGAATTAAATTGAAGCTGATTTAAATTTACATTGTACATGTGACCTTGCGACTCTGACAAGTTGCTCCGACACACACGTTTTTTAACGTGATTAACCCATATGGCAGCGAATATCATATCTCACACATAATTTATTTACATATATGTATGGCAACTGTTGTGCAAATATTTTCCATTCCAATGAGACGTACGTTGATGGGTTGACGGGTCGACGGCTCGCTTATCAATTCAATTGAAATAATATTAATAACAATAGCTGGCTTTATTATAAATTCTGTTGCATCAACACGGACTTGCGACTTGCAATGAAAGCACGCCCCTCGATGACTAATCGCGATCGCAGTTCAAATTTCCAGTTGATATCTGCTTGGAAACAGCTTTATATGTTTGTATACATATACTCAGTACAGTAACCATTTTCGGTACGATCATTAAAAACATAAAAACAATTTATTTGCTTATTAATTTGTTTAATAAATATACAATATATAAAATTTCTGGTTAGTTTGCAAGGCATTTCCAAGGCCACTTGGACAGTGTTTTCATGAAAAACAAAAAACTAGTACAAAAATCTGATTAGCTGGTGAATTATCCTTCTACACACTTTTAACTACGTTCAAAACACACTGATAACGAGGTACATTAACACATTTTCTGTTTAGTACACACAGGAGACACGGACTTGACTTGGACATGTCGGTACAAAATTAAAATTGATTCGTATATCAAGGCACAACAGGCACTCTGTTAAATAGATATTACATATTAGTCTAGATATTAACGTTGGACAATAGCGCCCAATAGAAACGGCGATCTACTGGGCATATAACATTTACACATATACGTACACACACACACACAAATTAATTAATTCAAATAGATTTGTAAACATGCAAAAATTGTGCTTGGCACTTGTAAGACGCAGACGCCAGATGGATTTCATTTATCTTATGACCAACCACCTGTCAGCTTGTGGAACATTTCCTCGTTAAGCGTCTGATTGTTTTCTTTGGAGCGCATGGACATAAAGATATAGCCGCCGATAAACTCGTGCACCACTTTGCAGTCTGCGGATAGGCAAGAGAACACAATGTTCCCATCGAGGAATTGAATCATCATGCACTTAATGCCCCAGTTAACGTTCCAGGCTTTCATTGTGTTGTAGCGCCAGGTTTTCAGATGATCACCCGTATTCAAATCCATGCGCATGATGCGATTGTGCGCCACGCCCAGCAGCTCTTCCTTTTTGTGGCCATCGAATTTGATGACAAAGAGCGTGACACCGAAGTCTGGCAGCGATTGCCAAGCCTCTATGTACTTCAGCTTGGCATCCATCAACTGGAGCTGGCGCACATTGGCGTGCGCTTCCAGAATCCGTTGCACTGCCTTTCCGGACAGCTTACGCAGCATTTTGGGAGAAAGATAATCATTGGCATCCACTGCACGCGGATTGATATTCAAAGGCGCCGCTTGTGCCTGCGGTTTCTGCATCTGGAGCAGCGACCGTATGCTGCTCACCTCGCTCTCATAGCTGCTATCGGCCAGCGAACGTCCCTTGGCTGCAAGGCGACAAGCAGCCATCCATTTTGCATATTGCTCCTCATTCTCACAGCGCACCCAGTATTCGCTGTTGGGGCCGTCGCGTCCTGGGGACACCTCCAGCCGTATGCCAAACTTGCCTTGGCCTAAATGCACATCAGGTGTCACCTCGCAGCCACGCAGATTGATTGTGATGCTCGGTGCACCGCGACGTGTGTCCTCTTGTGATTTGTAGAGGTACAGATGCAGGTCGCGATACGTGAAGAAGTAGCGTTTGTAGCCCCTCAGCGTGAACATCTGTGGCTTCAGGAATCGCAAGTAGTCTGAGAGTTCAGGTATTCGTGTTATATTGCCCGTATCGCTACCTGAATTTGGGCCCTCCAGTGTGATTTGCAGCTCATTCAGTGCCGAGTCAATGTCGTCATCGCCGCCGTTTTTTTGGCTGGACGAATCAATACCGGAACTAACGCCGGCCGGATGCAAATCCGTTTGATGATTCACTTGAAACTGAAGCGCGGAAAACATCAATGCTTCCTCCTCGGTACAGTCCAACTCTTCGTTGAGTATGGACCATTTGGCCTGCTCGTACAGCTGATTGATGCGAACTTGATCATACTTCGGATTCAGATCGAAAAACGTAAAGTACTTGAATCGCAGACAGAGCGTATCAAATTCTCGCACACCTTGCTCCATGATGGACAGCGAAGAGTCTAACCATCCAACGTTCAGGCGGGCCTTCTGGACCAGCGTCTTGGGGCGCACAAGGCGAGCGCGCACATCTGGACTGGGCGAGCGTGGAGAGACGGACAAATTCTCCTGTAATTCACCAAAAATGGAACCCGAGTCATAGGCGACATAGCCATTGTGGCTGTTGTTGTGCCTCCAGGTGCCAGTGGGCGAGCTTATGGGTGTGCCCGGTGCAGTGGTCGCACGACGGGGAGTTGTTGCGTATGGCGACGTTGGAGCGCATAAAAGATTTCCGTTGCCATGGGATCTGTCCAAACTACCATTGCTACCATTATAAGCATTCGTAATGGGCACAAATGAGTTAGTGTCCGCTGCAGGATGCAAATAAGCAGTGCCATTGGCCTCTGAAACGGGTATCATCTTTTGGGGTAGCTTCGAAAAGTTCTTCTTTAAATGCTCCTGCTCGACAGGCTTACATAGTGATAGCTCTTCCGGATAACGTATATCAAGCTCCTTGCAGAGATTTACCACAGCGCCAAATGTTTTAATTGAGAAATTAACACGATAATCTAGATAGCGTAAGTCAGGCATCTGGACTCGCAACGTCTTGTGCATGGGCGTAAAGTGTAGAAAAGAATCCGATTGTACGCCTGCCTGGTCGAGGGTGGAGCGCGTGCGCGTTAGCCAAACATTTTTTGCTGGCCACCAGAGCGCATGATCGGACCAATCCTTGGGCATCTCTGGATCGACTAGCTGCAGCATAACGCCGCCAATGTGCTGGTCACCGCGCACACGTAACGTTTTCTCCACCTGCAGATCTGTGATAAATATCCGCAGGTTCCAGGTGTTCTCGCCCACATGAATCATCTTGCCACTGATTTCCTATTTTAGGCGTATTGCCAACACACATATACGAGGCACAAGCACTAGAACTTGAGCGACTGGGCCAATAACTAGAAATGAACGCAACCAAATCACTTAATTTATAAAAAAAAATTGTCTATCGATGACGTAATCGGCATACATACGTTCTTTCTCTGCTTTTCTATCCGAGCTGCTTTTGCAATAAATATAAGCGAACACGAATGGTTTCGCTGCTGGCGCCCTTATCTTGCCCAGATGTTTGCTTTGCCTCGTTCAGCTCCAGGGCCTGTTCAGTTACAGCTCCACTTCTAATAGAAGCTCTCACTCAACGGGGCTCAATCGTTGTTGTTTCTTGTTCTTCCCCTTTTGCCTCGTCGCAATAAGCGCTCAAGGTTATCGTTAGCGTTCTTTTCGAGGAGGTGGAGACGTCGTTGTCGTCCCACTGCACAACAAATACTAATGAATGCTGCGAAATTCCACACACATACGACCCAGCAGCGACGGCGACGGTAACGGCGAGAAGCGAATCGTGAACAAAGCCAAAACGCCAGCAGCTCTAAGCGAGATAGAGAGAGAAATTAATTCATAAATAAATCAGCACGAAACAGCGACGACGCGACGTGTTTTTGGTTGATTTTGCTTACAACTTGTTTCTGCCAATGTGTATGTTTTTCTTTGGCTTGTTTATTTGACTATATACAAATTATATTTGGCAATTCGTATTTGCCCAGCTTCTTTAATGCGACGTTTATTAACGTAAATTTATTTTTAGAAGATTTTTCACGTTCGTCATCAGCCTTCGTGTGCTACTAGAGTCGAGCAAGCTGTTATCGATTGTACAGTTATTGGTGATCATGACGATAGTATTGCTTAACAAATAAGTAAATAATATAAAAAAAATTAAAAATAAATCATTAGCGTGATTTTTAATATATTGACAAAGTTGAAAATATGTACAAAATAAAATAATGAATATTTTAAAATAATTCAGATTATTATTTTTTTATTCTAAATTATTTATAAATTTTGAATAAAGTGTCAGCCTATTTTCGTGCAACGATATATCGATAACATTCAACAACCCTGTTTGGACTTAGTTGCATCAATACATTGAACAAATTTAAAAAAGTTATTCTTCAATTGCGTGTGGAATATTATTTAAAAGACCATAAATATAATTAAAAATTTAATTTTAAGGATCACATTCATTCAGATCTTAAGGTCCATGGCAACGACTGGCATTGACACTGCAAATCACGCACACAAACCAACGTGCTTTGCCTTTCACATAGAATTCGTAAACAAACACAATGAAAGCTCCCGTTCAGCCCCAAAGCACCAGTCGTTACGGCGCTGTCTCTACGAGCGCACGTACTATAGAAATTGTCTGTCAGTTAACCGAACGCCGACTTTAGACGCGTTCGTGCACTATCTCACTCACACACGTTGCCAGTCAATACGAATACCTGTAAACGAGCGCGCCATCGCATGGGTGTGTGCGTGTATGTGTATGCCAGTGTATGTGAACAGCCAACTAGGAAAATTGTGCATGAAAATCAGAAAAATCATACTTAAAACATAGTTGAAACACAAGCCATGAATCAAAGATAGCGTACACAGTCCAATCAAATAACAAAACTCAAACGTAGCACATATAACTCAAACTTCAGAAGAATATAGTGATTTCTTTCCATTTATTTCGACTTCGTATGGTGTATTCAGTTAACAGACGAAAAATCGATCCAAACGATGCGAAACAACCCAAAATTATAAGTCTTGTCTGGACAAAATAGTGCAAAATAACATATACTTGTATATATGCGTATATATACGTGTATACAGATATATAACGAAACGGCTAATTTCATTAGTAAAAGTTAGGCAAAATAAACTGAAAATACAGAGCGGTTGAGAAAGAAAGAGAAGGAGAGAGAGATAGAAATAGAAATATAGTGAACGACTAAAAAAGTGAATTACGTTAATAGTTAAAAAACGCGCAACAGTCGCTGCAATACGACAAAACAACATCAAAAAACTATAAAATAACAGCAACAGCGCTTAGTCATCCGTGTGAGTTACGCCAGCGCAGTTCCAGCTCTGGTAGTTCACGGTGCAGCTTTAAACGCTTGCGACTGACTACTTGATGGTAGCGGTAGCATTGCACTATGCCTACGCCTACGCGTACGCCACGCTGTTGATTCCAATAACAACAGTTATCGCAGTAACCTGTTGTGCGCATTTGTAGTTCACCTTTCGTTGTCAAACAGAATAACAAATAACAAAAACAAAAACAAAGCGAATCGGATCAACTACCAACACACGTACAGACACATCACAAAAAAATATAATATAAAGGCAACTAGAAAAAGTTTGCACACCTGTTTGCTGCATTTATTGTGCCGAAATAATAGTTATATATCGTTTCTTATTTAGTGACCAATTATAATTGAACTGATACAATGTCGCGTTTAACGGAGGAAATGGTGATTGCCCGTGCCAAGCAATCGGACCTGGGTCTCATTAAGAAACTCAATTGCTGGTAAGTTAAACGAACTATTTGTTAACTAACTTATTGACTGCACAGTGAAAGCCTAGCCCAGTGATCTCTTGCGAGATCTCTGCAAGATCTCTGCCCACTTACCGCTTTCACTGCACCACTCGCAGTCAGCCAGTCAGCCTGACTGACCCAAATCCCTCAATCGCCAGCAGCAACCAGTTTAACCCAATCTGTCCACTTGCCTGCCTGGTTGCCTATCTATGCTGGGGGAGGGCAAATAAAAAACTCTTAAGAGCTTTGAAGTCTTTTCCTAGGGTAGCTAGGGAGACACTTCCAGGCTTTGCCTTTTATGAGCAGCCGTCATTCGCAACAGTTATTTTTGCAAATGCATCTTGACGTCGGGTTGTCTGTCTTTCTAAATGGCAACATTTTGTATGCTCGTTGCTTAAGAAATTTACAAGCTTTGCGAACATTTTTTATGTATGGCTTAAATTTATTATAATTTAAACTGTCAGAAGTAACAAACCATTCTTAACAACAGCAGCATCTTTCTAAGCATTGAAGAGCACCAATCTGACTCCTTGTTTTCATAGAGTCCAATCTAACATATGCCAAACATGCCATATCTATGGATATCTATATAATGAATCAGCCAAAAAATGAATTTATATACACATAATATAATATACATAACAATTAATCAATAGGCATTATTTGTTCTTATTTTTAAGCCACGCAATCATTTTTCATATTTTGTTATATTCGTGTCTATATATATTTTTTCTTGTCTTTTTAGGGGCAGTGATCTCAGCGATGTCAATATAATCAAGCGAATGCACGGTGTTGAAGTTTTGGCGCTTAGGTAAGTCAGACGTTTCTTGAAATTGTATCCAATGGGACTCTGTTGTAGATTAGAGGAGCGTTACGCTCGTTTCCTGCCCAGCGCTTTGATAGATTTTCAAATTCAATTATACGCTTGCCATTTTAGACATCTTCGCATTGTGGGTGGAAGGAGGCAGAGTGAGATAGAGGGAGAGACACAGATAGATAGAGAGAGAGAGAAAGCTAATCTGGGCATAGGTTTCTATCTGTCAGATACTTGTGCTCAAATGATGTCATTCGCACAGCGAGAGGCAACGGCATCATCAACAGCCGCAAGCAAGCGAAAAAAACTTTGGCACGCTCAAGCGCGTAATTAATGCACAAAGCAACACCAACAACAACAGCGACAACAGCAACATGAAGCCCAACAAAACTCGTGGGAGCACCAAAATTGGCAACAGCAACTTTAAGTTTGTTGGTCCAGTAAAGGCCCAGCACATTCGCGTGTGCTAAGTGCGTGGGCGCAAGGGCACCACTTGCTGCTACATATACATGCGAGATATGAGCTACGAGCTACAAGATACACAAGATACAATAACCTCTCATACAGATACTATGGCACTTAACACAGATACTGGTGCTTGCATGTAGGTGATGATTATGCCAAGTATCTTGAAATGTTCCTCTATTGCTGCTGCCTTGTAGATTGCGGCCTTTTAAGGCAAACATCAATGTTTTTGATTGTCAAGGTCGTTTCGAGCGATTTGCAAGCCAAGCTGCCTGTCTTATGGACAACATATTGTTGCGCAACAACACATATCTGAAGTCTTTTAATGTATTTATTAGCCGTGCTTCGCCTTATACGAGCTTAGCCAAGCAAGGCTTTGTGCTTTGCTCTGAACTTGTGGCGAACAGATGGTGCCATAGTCGCTCTGTAGGCAGGACATGCATATTGAATATGCAGCTCTCAAATTCTCTGTTCTTGTCAGAGATCTTTAAAGAAAGAGTGAACCACAGTTTGGAGTTATATGTGGTTTTATTTGATCTCAGATATGTGAATCTGCAGCAATGCTGCATTAGTTCTTGTCTTCACTCTTCGCATATTCTTGCTTAGTCTACAGATTTGATGTCTGAATGTTCCCTTAACGTTAAAGTGCCTGATACATTATAATATTCTGCATACATTATAATATTAGTCATATCTTTGCTGCCTTTACAACTGAACGAAAAATGTTTCAATATTTATAAGTCTTTAAAAGCTTTTTGTAGTAACCTACTTCACCTTATCAAAGAATGGGGCCGACTATACGGAACTGAGGCAATAGATATGGCAATTCTGGCGCACGCCACAACCACAAGCCTGGGGCAATAAATAACAAGAGTACAATTGAGTTCCAATGGGCTTACGTTGCATTTAAGTGGAAAACCCTTTTGGTTTCATGTCGCTGAGCAAAGGCTTAACATATTTCTTGTTATGCCCACTTTGTTTGCCATTTATGGAAAGTTGTTGTAGATTGTTGTGCTAGGCAATGGCAGGGTCGTGGGCTGCACTCAGCGCTTTGCCTTAGTCGACTCTGAATCCATTAATCAGCTCTTTTGCCCCCACACGGATATACGGTGCGAGTATTACTCATTCGCCTGATTTTCTGATTGGATAACTTTCTGCAAGAACAAGAAAGCTCTAGTCGGAAGTATCCGACTAAGAAGTACCCTGGCTATGTATAGCTTGTATATATGCATAACAAACTTGGCCTGGTTGTGCTATTGGGTGACCAACAGTAGAATTTGTAAGTCTCCAGCTCTTATAAGTTGGGAGATTGAGAGATGGACGGAAGGGAAGACGGCATTACCTCGTCATCGCGATCAGACGACCTTCTGCCTGTTACATACATTTTGACTAAACCATTATACCCGATTTCCCATTTTCAATGGGTTCAGGGCATAGAAACGTGAACGTAAGAACTTTGTATTGATTTGCATTGCGTGCCGTTGGCACTTGGTTGGATTCCATTAATAGTTTGGCCCGCTCCACTTGGAATCCAAGTGGCAACCTTGAAAGACTTTGATAACTCTCTCCAATGTGACACTAATTATGCTTATTGGTGTATTACTTTGTTTCGTGGTTTTCTTTGCCTATGCTGTGCCAGTTTCAGACTCTATAAATAGTTGGTTGAAATAACAGAGACTCCAAAATATGTCTTGCCATGGCAATGCACCCGTGTGCCATTTGCGATCAGCATAGGTATCGGGTCTAAGTTTAGAAGCGTCTGCTGCGGTTTTATTTTTATATGCATATACAGATGCCCATACAGTTGCTCCCGACATCATTCTTATCTTATATAAAAGAGGCTTGCCGAATCGACAATTTTATAGTTATTAGCATTGGAAGAGCTACGAGCTGCGAGCTCCAACAATGACTGACCGAGGCCCTGGCTACCTGCACAAGATAGACGATGACTGGATGACTGACGCTATCAATTATCAATGACGACGCGGTGAGGGTTCTTGTTGACTTGTAGCGGGCTCAATATGATGTGTTCTCTGAACAGCCTACAGTTAGGTAGTATTAAGAATTAAGAATGCGAAGAAAGTTGAATTTGTGGAGTTATTGACCCCGTGCAGCAGCCGCTGGGGCACCAAATCTCTCTTTTGTGTAGTCGCCGTCTTTGCATAACTTTAAAATGATTCATGGCATTTAACCGGAGCTTCTTTTGTCACTTAATATGATACACTGAAACAAATGCGACCAGTTGAATATTGAGGCTTTAAGTGGGAAATTTAATAATAATAATACAAGATTTAAGAATCTATAATATTTATATATCTTCATCTTATAAAAATCTTCAAACAGCGTCAACAAAATTACCACCTTGGCACCCTTTGAAGACTGCACAAAACTACAGGAGCTATATTTACGTAAAAATAATATTCAAAATATCAATGAAATTGGTTATCTACAAAACTTACCATCGCTCAAATATCTGTGGCTAGAGGAGAATCCATGCTGCGAGCGAGCAGGACCCAAGTAAGAATTATATATGTATATATGTATTTATATACTCATAACTCATCGATTTGCTTTCAGCTATCGAGCAATTGTGTTACGCGCCTTGCCCAACCTTAAGAAATTAGATAATGTGGAGGTTACTCAGGAGGAGCTCGATGAAGCCATTAACAACAGCGGCCTGCCAGCGGCTGAGGAGGATATCTATGAGGATGCATATGAGGCAAAACAGCAGCAGCAGCAGCAACAGAGTCGCACATCTCCACAGCAAATTCAACAGCAACAGCAACAGCAACAACAACAGCAACAGCAACAGATGTATCCGCAGCACTCACCGCGACAGCAACAATCATCGCCGCAGCAGCAGCCACAACTAACGCAGAGGGCCAGTTCGAGTCCCTCAAAGGAGGTAACTAACCTGCATTCTATGACTATCTCTCTTGCTCTCTCCCTCTCTCTGTCTCTAACACATCCACGTCCCCTAACTAGAAATCTAATTGCCGCCTGTCATTTAACAAAGTATATTTTTTCTATCCTAATTACTAACAAGCCGCCGCAATTAGCAAGTCCACTCGCTAATAACTTCGATGGAACGAATAATGTATCAAATAATGTCAGCGATTTATATAGCCATCAGTTGCAAAACTCAATGCCCCCAACACCCACAAAGGTAAATGAACGCAACGCGCTAGTTCGAGCTGTTTATGACTTGCCCTAATTGAGTGTCGTGGTCGAAATAGTGGAAGTTCGTTGAGCGTAGTTTTCAAAGGGAACGACCGATAATAGAATTTACATTAGAATTCGATTTACCCAAATATGAACTGGCAGTACGATATCATACGAATATGGCAATCACAAGTTATTTCGCAGCACATTTCCACTAAGAGAAAGGGTTTTGTATAAACCAAATTATATATTACGCAAGCTTATTAGAAGTTAAGGCAACCATAGATAGCTGGGAATTTGATATATATATATGAAATATATTTAGAAATTAGAGATTTGCATACGAGTTATAGGAGCGTACTAGCCGCCGTCTACTAACATTTATATGTTTTCAGTCTAATACTAACAAATATTTGGCTTTCCATATTCTTTACTATTTCCCAGGAACCCCCACACCCGCCATCGCCAAAATATAACACCATTACTAAAGAGCAACGCACTTCCTTTCATCAATATGATGTAAGATACTCATACTACCACGCAGCCAAGCAAATCAGCCAACCGTTTAGCATTTTGTGATGAGAAATGATGAGCTTGTTGTTGTTGCCGAGCCTAGTCAATGTAGAGCTGGTTGTTTTCTTTATTTTATTTTTTGTATATTTGGGCGTGGCCGCGTCCATCGCCCATTACCCTATTGGGTGCTGTGTTACGCGTGAACGAGTCACGCGATGTGGCAGTGGCATGGTTAAGGTTCTTCAGCTAGCCGGCTAGTGGGACCCATTGTTAGGCGGCAGCTTGGGCTTGGGTTTCTGGGTTAAGTCGTGGCACAACAGCAACATTTGACTTTGAGCGAACGTCGAGCCGCAGAGAGAAACTGAAACCGAGACGAAACATAATTACCACAGAAGCAGCAAGCCCAAGAGCTAACTGATAAAAATAGGTCATTATGTATTCAACAAGCAATGCTAGAGAGCTGAACATAAAAAGGGGTTAGGCCCTGTCCAGTGCATAGACCCTCGGCACATTTTTGGAGATCCAATGTTTTTGTAGTGTCAGCAGCGCTTGGCAGCAACAGCAAGCTCAGCTTTTCGAGATGCAAAATGGTTTGGTATTGAAATGGCAGACAACACAACTAACGACTTCTTTGTGCTCCTCTCCCACAACTAAAAACCAACGCACCACAACACTAACCAACACAAAAACGATTAGCATTCGCCGGGTTCTGATCAGGAGAGTCCGCATGTTGGCTACAGAGAGACGCGCCCAGCGCCCCTGCCGCCCAGCATGTCTACGCACTCGATGAAGGTAAAAATAACTATTAAAACACAGCTGAATGAATGGTTTGCGAATGTTGAAATTAAGGAATTTAATGTTATTGCATTTTTGTTATGGTATTCCTTTGCTTCTGATACAGGAATACTATCAGTCGGATAGACCTAGCTATCCAGCACACTATCGCCACAGTCAAACAGATTTGACGGAATGGGAAGAGCATCAACAGACACCGCAGGTGCATCATAGTACATATGGCAGCCAAATGCAGCTGCATTATCCACAGCGGCGCAGCGCCGGCCCTGAAGCGGGCGGAGACCGTTATGCTTATAGGAATGGAAACGCTCGGGAGAATGGAGGCGATTGGGAGGTCGAAGAACGTTCGAGACCTAGGTAAGCAAGCTACTAATCTAACTCGATTCGTTCATTTATAAAGAAACAAATTGTTATATATAATGCAGGCGCCCCGAGGGACGCTACAGTGATTCGGTGAGCAACGTTTCTGCCACCGTAATGAATCATTTTGGGGGTTGTCATCGACGGCCCGTCAATCGGGTGAGTAACCTCTTACGATATCTGACTGAGATAGCATAACGAAAAATTCATTTGCTTTCGCAGAACTCTAATTTGCTATCCGCCACATTATGCCTGGTCAAAGAGTTGGATTACGGCAGCTTGGAAGTGTTGGAACACGCCGTACGCTGTCGCATTGACGAATTGGCGGGAGAATGATGAAGACGTGTTTCTAATCGCATGTCGATTAGCTAATATACTTAAGGGCCTTCAAGATTCCCAAAAGTAAAAAGACCACACTTAAAATTTATTTTGAAGATCTGACAAAAAGACAAAGTAAAACGACTCAAAAATTTGTATTTTAACAGTTTAACGAATTACAACAAATACTTAAATTAAACTTGCCAATTGTAACTGTAATAATTGTTAACTTTTATAAGCATTGATAAGCAAAAGTTTTTCTAACTGAAATCTCTGAAGTACGTCGGATACATAACGTACGTAGAATATGCATATGATAATTACTACAAATTGTATAAACTAACCCAAGAATTTATACGCTCTCAACGTTCTATATGTACAACTAATTTGATCGTTATTCTAGTGTATTTAAGTTCGTATCTTGTTTTTGTTTTACACTCGACATTGCAGTTGTGTTAATTAATTAGCAAAGTAAGAAAAAACAGATTGGAATAACTTATGCACTAGCCACACTAGCCTTATTTTGTACTTAACAAGAAAAACATGTAACGTCTAAGGCGTCAAGCACAATACAAAACAACTTCCTTGTTTTTATAAATTAGTTAAAATATTTAACTCATGATAATTAGGGCTAAACTTTTGAAGCTTGCCAAACCTTTGTTGTTGAATAATTGTACACAACAATTTAACTCTAATTCTTATACAAACTCGTCCACCTTAAGTCTAATTTCTTTTATAAAATGCGTATGAATTTAATAAATATTTATATTAACATGCAAAATAAGTCTTTTTAATGTTAAATTGAACTGCTTGTTTTCTGTTATGGAGCAAGCAGTATAATGTGAGATACAGCAATATGTACACTGCTTTCTTTTGGTTGTATTACAAGCAGTGAAAGGTGTGTGATAAAATAAAAGACCATAAATACCTTTTTGGCAATCCCACTATTATTGAGCGCAGCAAGCCTAACACCTTAAGAGATTGAGTTTTTTTTGGCTGGAATTCGGTGGAAATTATGAATACTTTTTAGCTCCCATTTGATTCATAAATATATAAAATATTTGTTTATATATCGAAATTGTATTCCCCATTTAAAATTGAATTGCAAATAAAACACATGTTTTTAGAGGGGCTTTACAACATATAACACATAATATATTTATATTTGACTTTTATGTAGGGTTGTTCGGTTATATATGTATTGGGTTTGTCTTGTAAGTTTCTCATTGCGATTCTTTTACAGTTGCTGCAGTTTTGACTAATCCATATAAGCTGATACTATTATAGTTACTATTTATTTTGCTGTTAAGTATCTTTTTATTAGTTTGTTATATCTGCTGTTGCTGATGTTACGCTCTGACAACAATTCTATGCCAATTACAAGAAACTAAACTTTTCGAACATTTATTATTTTTGTAATTGATGATGATGTTGCTTGTTTAGTTTGTTACTTTTGTTATAATTAGTTTGAGTTCGCTTGCTACTCATTTTATGTTTTTTTTGTCCGCTGTATTCATGGCAGAAATGCAACGTCTAACACATACACATATACATAAAAGTTAAGTTCAATACAATATACTAGATTATAATGAATATGTTTAATGTTTTTTGTTGGTTTTTTTTTTTCTATATTAACGTGCTACACATTGATATATTGAAGCCGCAGTAAATCTTAAACAAATGTGCTCTGAAAAATTGTAATCTTGGTTTTTGGTTTTTAGTTTTTCCTTTAGCTAAGTGTGCAATTACAAACATTTAGGAGGTGCCAGATTATAAATATAGATTTTCTAACATTTATATAATATATATTTTAATAAGTGTAGCCAATGTTGCTTTGGAAAACTTTACACACTTAAGACATTCATATTATTATATATATTTAATTATTGTCTGTCACAGCGTCGCGTTTGGCACAACAACGTGTGTTAGCTTTTAAATATAAATAAATTATAGGTGTTATTAGTTTTTTTAATCTATGCTTAAGCTCTTAAGAAACTAATTGCAAGAGATGTTGGTATTGCAATTGACGCTTGTCTTCCAAAATGCTTGTTGTTGTTTGCTGAAATTGTCTTCTATTTCAAACAATGCGAAAAAATGTCTTCCAAACACTTTTTGCATATATATATCTATATATATATAGAATGTTTTTATGATATATTTATATAAATATATGTTTATATATATGTTATGCACATCGAGATATTTGCAGTAAATACACTTATTTAATTAATGTCTTTTTCTTCGGAAAACTCTGGAACGTTTTCCTAAATAAATGAGCCTTTGATTTGCAATCGCAACTCATTTTGTATAGACCAATATATATATATATATATACATATATATATATATAGAAATATATATATATATATTCTATTCATATGGGTTGTTCAATAACCAACACTAAACTCTTGGTTAACATTTATAATTGCGACACATAATTGATGCTGATATTTTTATATTTAGCCGAAATTATTATAATTTTGTTTTTAAAAATGTAATCAACTTTTCCTTCTGCCTTTGTAAATTGATATGCTGATTCCATTAATGAAATTAAATTGGTATTATAATATATTTAATTTTGTGTGTGTAAATAATTGGTTTACGACGATATGTTGTGTATTTTTGATATTAATTGGTTGTGATTTCTACGTCTCTGCTTCGCCCTTATGACGAATAACTAATCCTTAGGTATGTATTTGTGCAGACATCGGCATCTGAACAGCCATATCCTAGCTATATGGACATACACTTAGATATAGATATCGATACCGTTGCCGCACTGGAAGCCCTTTTGTGATTTGTTGTTGTTACTCTTCTACGTGCTGAGAACGTTAATTTTGAAGTGTTCATATTCTCTTTTATTATTATTATTGTTAGTATTTACCTTACTATGTTTCATAGTTATTATAGTTATTTTAGTTTTGTTAATTGAAATTAATTACAAATTAATTGATTCGCATAGGGAATTTTGTTTTTTCTTTGTTTTGTTTTTTGCTCGTGGCGGCCTATTGCACCGCACTTATAATTATATTTATATAGATTTGCCTTTTCACTTCACTTTTTTACAATTCAACTAAGAACAACAGTGAATTTACATATAGAGAGACAACACTAGCATAAACAGAAATAGAACGACACCAAATCAAGTGTATATTTTTTAGTGTACAACAAAAATAACAACAGAAAGATTATATAGTTGCATATATAATTGGTTGTGATTTATGTACCTTCAGCCGAGCCGCGTGGGCTCAGGTGAAAAACGGCGATAAATCACAGTTGCACAAAGACCCGCCATCGCCAGTTTTGCAGAGAGTCTTGCACACTTCGTCCCAGTCCGGTGTGCCATCGTCTCCAGCGCTGGCCGTGGCCAGCAGAGCTGCTTGCCCGGCACCACGTGCACTCGCACTCGATCCGGAACCATGTGTAGTCACACTCTGCTCTGTACTGGCCCCATCCGATACATCCAGCAACTGACAAGGACTGCAGCCGTTGAGTGCGCGTTGTCGTTGATGGCAAAAACTCCTGCACATCCGGCTGCCAAAAGATTGAACGGCTTCAACTGTGTTGGATAGAAACAAGTTAATGCTATAAATACATCATCAAATCTCATGTCATGGCCACTACCTATTGCCTAATTTGTGGAAAGGGAGTCAATAATACTAATATATGCATATAGACAATATATGCAACACGATATTTATATATACATATAATAATTTATTTTAATAATATTCCAAATTCTAGTGTTATATATAATATTTATTGTATTCTTATCTGTAATTTATGAAAAATATAGTCAGTTAGACAATTAGTCATGTGAAACTAAATTTTAAATTTGTGATGCGAGCTTTTAAAATAAAATAACTAAAATTGGATTTAAAAACTGATTGTTCGATTACTTAACACAAGCCTGAAAGGTGCAAAGTATAGGAGTACATAGAACAAAATATTCAATTTTACCTCTTATATTTTCTGATATAGACATTTGCATGCACACAGACAGTCGCACGGATGGAGGGGCGAACGGACAGACAGATTCGGCCCGGCTAAAGAATATATATTGGCCTGCGCTATGACTCTTTCTCTCTGCTAGATTTATTTTAACTAAAGAATAAAATTATAAATACCAATATACACCAAGTTTTGCTAAAGAATTATTGTTCTACTTATGTCTGTCAATGAAATTTATCATTTTTTTAGTATTTACAAATTTTTAAAAATGTTTCTTTACCAAATTGAAAATCTCATTTAATAAAATATCATAATTCATATCATAAAATTAAATTATTTTTATATTAGAAATCTACGATATTTTCTATTATCTAATGTGAGATATAGTCTTGATAAATATCCACGGCCGAGTCTCTGTTTGCTGCTGTTGTCCATCTATTTGTAAGAAACTAAATTAACTCTGCAATTTTGCTTATGAAATTTTATTTGGATTGTTTAGAAATTATTTTAATTTGTTAAAACATAATAAGTACATCAAAAATCTGCCATAGTCATTATATGCCAAAAATAAAAAACATTTGTTTTTACAAACTTGGCTACACCTGAAAAAATTGGTCATGCTTAGCTTACTATTTGCAGTTCTCATTAGATACCCTTTATCGAAAACTTACTCAAAGTATGTCAAATTTTATGTGTGTCATGTTATCAATTACTTACTATTTTAGTTAATATCTTTACTATAAAACAAGTAAGAAAGCTCTAGTCGGGGTGCCCGACTAGGAGATACCCTGATCCCAGTCCTTTGAGTTTTGTAATATTTTCCGTAGTTTGTATCGAGTATTAAAAAAAAAGAGAAAACAAATAAAAATCGACATTGCGAGACCAGGATTCGAACCCGGATTATTTGCGCAACGTGCACAAACTCTACCAACACCGCCACTTCATAACTAAAAAAAAAAAAATAAAACAGTAAAAAACATTTCATCTCCTCCGGTCTCGAACCCGGACCAAGCTGCATACGATCGGGGCCTCTACCAACGCAGCCACTGTCCTTCTTGCACGGGCTGTTGCAAATTTGAACATAAGTAGCAGCTAATAATTCAGCACAATTCAATCGCAATTTCAATTCTTGGAATAGAAAAGAATACACGCATTTGAATGTATGTGTGCACACGCATAGGAAAAATGCGTGCGCGTGGCGCTGCTGACATGTGCTTTTGGAAATTGGCCAAACGTTTTGTTTAATAACTTCTGTTTTACTTAATGGATTTTAATGAAATTTTCAGCATATGATCTACATATCCTATTGGCTTGGTTGAGATGCAAACGCCTTCACATAATGGCCCTATTTCCAACTAAACTTAAATTCTAAGAATTTGGGGGAATTTGGAGCCGGTATCCAAAATCCAACAAAAATCAAAATTGCATAAAATATATATAAGACTAAATACAAAATTTGGAGGCTCTAGCTCTTAAGACGTTCGAGATATAATTTATTTACTGCATTTCAATAATGTTTTTATTCGATAACAATTAAATGCGAATAGTTATCGAATATTTGAAACAAACTTGACCTGCGCGTGCTATACACGGACCTACAAAAAAAATTTCAAGTCTCTAGCTCTTATAGATGCTGAGATCCACGCGTTCACACATACGGACAGACGGACAGACGGACAGACGGACAGACGGACGGACAGACAGACGGACAGGGCTCAATCGACTCGGCTTGTCGTCCTGATCAAGAATATATATACTTTATGGGGTCTGCCACGCCTCCTTCTGCCTGTTACATACATTTGCACAAAACCATTATACCCTGATTTCCCATTTTTAATGGGATCAGGGTATAAAAATGAGTTTATTCAGAAATATTTAGAACCGATTTCGCATAAAGTAACAAAGGAAACTATGTTTAACGATTCATGACTAATGTCGCCATAAGTATATTTTAAATATATTTAAAGTAGGTCAATTTTTTCTGATTTAAAAAGCGATTTAAAAAACTAGAAAATATTAAATAGTAAATAGTAACAACTATTGGCACACATTTAGCCTACCTGATTGTGATCCGTGCAGTTGCTTGCTTTCAGCCAACTCAAAATCTTTGCTCAGGATCCCGATCACCTTGACGCCAGACGTCGGGCAGTGATCCGCACATGGCGCTACGCCGAGGCCAGCCCTGAAAATGCCATTAAAAACACAAAAAATTCAACTGTAAGCACTTGATAATTAAACAGATGTAGGCCAAGTATTTGGATTACTTCGCAAACAGCTATAACATAAAGGTCTGTTAGCTATCTCGAATTGATCGGCACTCAAAATGCCAACGCATATCACAAAAAAATGTCACATATTTCACTCAAGTAAAGTTGGTTAGATTTGACTAATTTGTCACACAGTCTGACAGCTTTCAGTATTATTAGCGAATGTGAAAACACTGGATGTAGCGTGATATAGATAAGATTTCACTTGCACTGGGCTGGTTCAGGTCTGGCCTGGCTTGGCTGTAGGCGCTATTTCTTGACTTACCCGCAGAGCTCTTTACACACCAAACTCCAATCCTGAACTACGCTAACGGACGTCAGAGCTGGCGACGACGGCGATTGTCCCTGTGCTTCTTCAAGGCTTTGCTGTGCTGCTTGCAGCGCTTTTCTAGCATCCCCCAAAGCCTGCAGCACTTGTGGGTGTTGTGACGTCACGCTGTGAGACTGCGCACAGCAGACGACAGCAGCAACCAATAGCAGTCGAAACATGCTGAGGACCCTGGCTAAAAAGAGACGAAATGAGAGTGAGAGCGAGAGCGAGACACGGCAATTGTGAGCATCAAAGCATATAACAGGAAAATAGTCATGGCCGCGCTGCAGGTCGTATACTTGATGGAAGCTCTATGCGTATGTGTATGCGTGTGTGGCAGATGGAGGTGTAGCTGGTAGGTGGTTAGCTGGTTAGGTACTGGCGGTCTGCACAATGGAAGCAATTGCGCTCGAAATGCAATTATCGCGCGCCTGAAACTAGGCAACATCGCGCCGTTGCATGGAATCCATTGTTGGCGCCCCATTGCAAATGGAATTTAATGCGCTTGATTTGCCCGATTCAAAGCATTTTCATCTACTGCTTTGTTATGCTATCGCTCAGGCCCAGATCTAGCTGCTGAAATATCCGAATGTGTAAATAATCGATTTTTTCCAACGATATCACGTGAGCTGCAAGCTTTTCTCACAAATTTTACTGTAGTCCGTGTTGTTGTTCGAAACTCCGCCTGGCACTCGTCCAGGCACAGGCCCACAGTTGGAAGTTGCCTGCGAGAGCGGGCGCGTCAATATATAGAACAGGCACCTCTGGGTTACACATGCACACACACACCTACACCTACACATTCGGTATTTACTCCGCTCTTAATTACCTTTTGCAGTCTTTCATTGACTCTATCGTTCGACTTTTTCACGATTGAGCAAAATATATTAAGACTTAAATATTTTGGCCTATCTGGGTTATAGAGCCTATCTGCGCTACGTGCAAGCACAGCCAGGTAAATATTCGCATCAGTTATATAAGTCGTTTGCTTTTGTGTTTGGTTTTGTTGGCATAAAAGCAGAAACTAGAACTCAGCTTGGCTTATTGTATATTAGAAATAATAACAACTGACAACTGACAAACCAGTTTCTATATTAGTCTATCGATTAATTAATTATTATAGATTAATTATATATCTTAGCTCGTTAGTTTCTGATTTTTTCTCTTCTCTTCAAGCTAGAAAGCTTACTCTTAGAACATACAGATCGAAGCAGCTGAAATGGTTTAGTTAATCAATTGAAATTTGAAATGTTTGAAGTGAGCATATCTCAGTAGGAGTCAAAAATTAGATAAATAGAAAATAAAAACTTTAATATAAACTAATTTTGTGACGGATGCTTTCAGTTTACGTTTTCATGGATATTCATAATTGATGTAAAATCGATCATCGAAAATGTGTAAAGTGCATATTGTATTTAGATCTATAGGGATACTCAGGGTACTTACTTGTGTTTAAAAGTACTTACTTCTTACTCAAGGAACATTCAAGTTGAAATTATTATTTCCAATATATTTCAATATATTTTAACGAATTCACTCGCTGCGATCCGCGCGTTTCAATTCACAATTCATGTCTGGGCTCCGTTCGAAATACGCGAATGTTTTAAAAGCCCGAATGGGCGAACTAACTGAAATGAGGGCCAACTATAATCTGAACGTCGCACTCTTCGCAGCGAAAGTCATTTGTTATTAATAATATATATTTATATATATATATATAAATGTTATCAGCAACATTCAGGTGAAATCGTTGGGTGGTGGCCTGGAATGTTCCGTGTGTCAATTTTTTGGCACATGTTGGTGGAGTTGACACTTTAGCTCCATTGCCTTTGATCAGAGATAGGCTGAAGCAGGAGTGCTTAATTATTATTGGCAGCATTTGCCTTTTGAGTGTGCTTTTACCTGATAAGGCTACTCAGGTTGTCAGTTATTAGAGTAGATAACAATTATTAGGCGAAAAATTAATAATAATAAGCGACGCAATGCATCAAAATAAGTGAAGCGTAAACATACGCTTAATTTGCGTTTATAAGCTGAAAAGTATGGGTAACAAAGGTCGATTTTGTTGAGGCCTATCACAGTCATCTAAATAGAAAGATTAAGATAAGTATAAAAGCCAAGAAAAACTAGTATCAACCTGGTTCACATTGATTCGTGATTGATTGATTGATTGGTAGCTGTATTTTGTGCTGTACTTGACTGAATCATAAGAAAACTTTTCGGACTAGCTGCTGATCTATGCACGATTTAAACTAAAAACTCTGCAGCATCATCCTTTTAAATATAAATTAAGTTTCATATTAAGCCTTGCACTTAGCTTGAAGGTGAAACATTGTACTATATGTGTGCTTTTTTTTAAAATATTATTGGTCATTAATCGACTGCAAATCAATTTATATTGAAACAAATTTAGGGTAAAATAGTTTTCTTCTGTATCAGCAGCAATGCCTAAAAGTATTTACATTATTGATTAGGATCAAGAACCGACTGGATTAGCTCTGTCGATTTATCTATGTTTGTGTTACGTTGAGTACTATAAAATATCCAAAAAAAAATATAACCATTTCCATTTCCATAAAATCATGCTCTAGTTTTTTGTTGCGAAATTTGATTAATTGGATTGAAGAAGGGAAGTTGTGTGTTAGCCTCATGTGCACAGACGTAGTCTATATACATATTATCAGTAATAAAAATAAAATTGAATAGCAATAAATTAAAACGTTAACAGATATATTCTATTGCTACACAAGATCTTTCCAAATTACGATGTACATTTTTTTAGTAATCAAATACAATATCAAATATCATTATTTAGTATATATTATGGGCATTAATTGCGCTGTATAACTATAATAATAATTTTTAATATAATATTTGGCTGGCTGAGGAACTATAACACCTATTTAAAGCTTTATTCTAAATTAAATAAATGACACATATTAAATATATATATTTTTTATTAAAACTAACATTGGTATCCATGGTACTTGAATTTATTGTCGCTCCATCGTAACTGATGCATTCGCTATTTAAGACCGAAAACTAATAGAGAAATGTGTATATAATGGAATACAAGGCAAGGTAAGGGCTTTTAAACGCTTGGCAAAGTTTTGTAGGGCAAATGCTATGATTGAAATGTCGCCTGCATGTTCTTAGATAAGAGAACTAAGTTGAAAAATATTTTTGTCGGCCTCTGTTTGCGTTGGCAACTTGTTCAACAATGTTGGCAGCAGCTTTGAGTCTTTTACCTTGTTTTCTGCTTTGTGCTGAGTTGGCACGCTTGAGAGAATCTCGAGTAACATTCAGTGTTACATAAGTTGCACTCGGTGCTCCTAGAAGTATGCTATGAAAACCCATTGAGATGCAAGTAATGCAATTGAGCCCGGTGGGCGGGTCCCTGTGCCAACTGTCGGCGTTGTTGCAAAAACTGTGTCTATCTGCGTATGCGAAAATGTGTGTAGGTGTTGCTGCTTGCTCTTTGCAACTCCTGCTTTGACCTAAATTTCAGCTTGCCACGAAAAATCCATAACTTTCCAAAAGACCACACACATATGCGCAGAGATACATATGTATATAGTAAATGGTTTTTCCGATGATATGAAGCAATTCCATAAAAACAACTGAAGGTTTTTTCTTGGCTTTTATGTATGTTGGCACAAATTGCGCTTTTCTTTTTGCCAAATGGCAATAAAAAACTTTGGCATTGTAAATGTCAAAAACAGTTGGAAAATTAGTTTGTTAATTAGCTTTTCATTCTGCCACATCACATAGCAAAAACAGACAAAGTGCCCACAGGATAAAAAAAATAGAATTTATCACAAGCAACAACAACACCAGGCACTTAAAATGTTAAAAAAACAGATGCTGGAGACGAGATGGGGGTAAAGCCTTGCACTACGAGGCCTGCGCAGTGCCAACCGCTGCGCTTGCTGTTCCAGTATGTATCTGTTGGATACGCAAAAAGGCTGCCGCCCATTAAAGTGGCTCCGCCCACGGAACGCCAAGATGGTTTCCCAACGAATTCGTGACGTCATAGCCTGCCTGCGCAGTTTGGCGCCCAAAAACTAGCAAACATACATCTGCATATATACGACGTGCCCATACATAGGAGCTGGTCATGTCTTTGCTGTTGTGAAGGTTATGTAACACACAGCTCGACATATGGTATATAAATGCGAGTGGGTGTATGTGTGTGTGTGTGTGTGAGTGTGTGTGTGCGGCTGTGTGTTTAGGTAGGCAGCCATTTTGTGCGTGGCATCGCAAGCTTCGTAGGCAACCCAAGCGGATGCTGCTGTTCATAGCTCCGCAGATCGTCAGCGAGTGTAGCTGCTTTTTGTAAGCATCCAAAACTTTCGAAAGTAGTTCGTTACAGTTGGTCTTGTGGCTCCGTCCCGTTCGGTTCAGTTAATAAAGTTCCCAGTTCACGCGAGTGTTGTGCAACCGAGTTTTGTAAGTTGTAGCTGTAGCACAATTTAGTAGTTGCACCTGCCACCAATTCAATTGCATTCAAGGTCATCTAGACAGCTGGCTAATTAAACTAGCTTAGTCTAGCGCTCATTTCGCACTCGCTCGATCGCAAACGTCATTTGTTGTTTGTTATTGTTCTTGTTGTTCCCTATATCGCACATTTTCGCTCTTCACACGTAATTGCCAGTAAAGCAGCCAAAGTGAATTATCTAAAGCAATACATCGACGATATCCGCAGGATAATCGGTAAGATATCCTATACGCCACATACAACAAAAACTGCCCATCTCTTGTAAACACAAAACACATTCTTGATCTGAGTGTCTGTTACATAATTAAGGTACAGGTTTAAGGTTTTCCACATTGCTTACAGCTGTCGCGTTGTCTGTACCCAGCACATAGTCTGGCTATATACTCCCACACACCTACACACTCAGGAAATAATGTTAACACTCACTGCGCAATAGCAGACGCTGCTCAGCCTTATATTGCTATGTACATCCAATCCTGTCCCAGTCTCCTATCAAATCTGTGTACATGCATTGCTGGCCTTATATACGAGTTTGTATATGAGGCTGTGCCACCCACACTCACTCGCCAATTTTGTCCTTCAGTTGTCCTTGTACACACACATTTTCCTACTCCATTTTCAGTTCTGTTTATTTACTTAGCCAGTGCATTTTCGCGCTGTTGTTCTTGGCGTTGGTTATGTAATTGGAGGTATCTA